CCTTTTATATATGTTGGAATTAAAATAGAGCAGGCAAGAGAGAGAAGAAACAGCTCAACGCCTAGGAAACGGTTGAGCAGATTAAAGAATCCTTTATCATGAAGAAATCTGAAGGGTTGAGCCCTTTTGATCTGCTAAGTGCCTGGGAGACTCCTTCATCCTTAAGTATTCCAAAGGGATGAGCCTTTTAAATCCGCTGAGCGCCTTAGAGACCGAGATTGCCCCATCTTCTGTGGCCAAACCGCTCAGCTCCTTTGAGGCGCTGAATCCTTTTTCCTCTGTTTCACTTAGGTTGCTTGCGGCCTTAAAAGCGCTCGAACCTTTAAAAGGGTTGAGCCGTTTGCTTCCAAGAACTTTGTTAGAATAGTGGATTAAGCCTAACTCAACCCTACAAAACCGGCAGCTTGTAAGGTGAGGGTTGCTTTCCACTTATATATTATTCAATTGCCTAGTCTCTAGTCGATGTGGGACTTGGGTTTTTCCCAATACATCCCCTCACGTCCAGCACTATTGGGCTTGGTACGTGGATAAATGGTAGGTGACCCTTTTTAATGATCTAGGATTGGCGGGACTTGGGTTTTTCCCAATACACCTCCTCATGCCTATGAGGCATGCATCAATGGTGGGTGGCCCATTTTTAAAGTGGATCTAAATGGCTCTGATACCATGTTAGAATAGTGGATTAAGCCTAACTCAACCCTACAAAACCGGCTTGTAAGGTGAGGGTTGCTTTCCACTTATATATTATTCAATTGCCTAATCTCTAGTCGATGTGGGACTTGGGTTTTTCCCAATACACCCCCTCACGTCCAGCACTATTGGGCTTGATACGTGGATAAATGGTGGGTGACCCTTTTTAATGATCTAGGATTAGCGGGACTTGGATTTTTCCCAATACACCCTCTCATGCCTGTGAAACTTCTTCTTGTTCCAATCTTCAAAAATCTACAAAACAAAGGAAAATTTTAATCATAAGAATCATCACTCCATTCAATCACTTCAATTAAAGTTTTTGATTCCATGTGTATTTTCCATAATTTTATCATTATATTAAAAAAAAATTATGCTAGATAAATATCCTAATTCAATATTTTCATTAGACAAATTTGAGACTTATCAACTTTCCCCAAACAAAGGATTATCCTCACAAAGAAATTAGTGTGAAAAAAGACATTATAGAAAGTGGACTAATCAAGGTGCGTCCAAACTACTACAGTATCAAATGAACTCAATTATGGCGACATGAGACATCAGAAGAAATAAAGTCGGCTTATTGAAATGGCAGTGGAAGGGGATATGATGTATATCTAACAATGCTCAGAAGGCGACAACTAAAGTCTACATCGGAGGCCATTTCGACGACATTGACACACACTTATGTTATTTGATGCACAAAAACATGAACACTATTTACGATGAATGGTTTACAGCAAAACAATTCAAACACGATCCCATCACCAAATTAGTGATCCATGCAACAAAGTGGAACCACCAAAATATTCTTCAAAGTGTAGGGCCTGCCTAATAACAATTTCTATGCATTAGATTCCAACTTGTTTTGGCTTTCATAAATTCTTTTAATTTTTTTTAATGATATGAAGCCTAATTTAAGGTCTTGTTTTATTAACTCCTAATTAATATCTTTTATCCTCGATCTATTTTTATTTTCATTAATTAACTACCACATTCAAATAATATATCTTTCCTATAAATGACTCAATCGATGACTAATCCTTACTATTAAATGTATTATTTTATAAAAAGAACATTATCAATGAAATATTAGTAACACTCTCTCTCATAAATATTTATTGTAAATTTTAGAAAACACATAAAGCTCTTAAATAAATATGTTAAATAAGCCGCCCTAATTGAAAGTTTTGAAAAGTTGATTTGAATGTGAGGAAAATGATAAGCAGAAGAAGTTATCGCCGATCTGCTTATTTATTTCTACAGTTTCAGCAAGTTGCTCCATCTGATAAAAAGTAAAGCTTTTCGCTTTTGATAACCCATTTCTCGTTAAAATAATGTAAGACGTACGCCAATTGAATAGGGTCACATTTCATGCATATACTATACTTATATGCCAATTTAGACACAAAAATTAACGTAAGCGAAAATGACTTGTGTTTGGTTTTAATTTCCTGCATGACACTGACTAATTAACCGTGTCACGCTCAAACCTTTGACTAAAGTTCTCAAATTCGAGAGAAGAAAAGCTAAAAATAAAGACAGCAAATGAAAAGGAAAGTGATAATGAATTAGGAAAACTTGGTCACTTATAGAACTGAAAGTTGGTATCAATTATTTTAATTGATATTTTTTTTATCTTTATTCCCTAATCCTATTAACATATTACACATCGCAGTACTACCACTTAGCCTATTAAATAGAGATTAATCTAACTCAAAATTGTAATTGTTACTAATTTGAATATTTTCACTTACGATAAAAATAAAATAATTTTTTTTAATAAATCGTTTTTATAACATATAAGTACAGGGTGTCTAATCATCATGTTAACGTATAAAATTAATCTAAAAATAATTTGATTTATCTTTATATATATATATATATATATATATATATATATAAGTAATCAATTCAAAGCTTCTATTTTATCATAAATGATAAATAAATCAAACTAATTTAGTTTAAGTGAACTCTAGATTTTGGGTGGAAAGTTTTTTTATCGATCAGCACAACCTTAATTTGTATATTAATTGATACTAAATTAATGATAAGTTTGATTACAATTTTTAGATGCTGTGATTATTGTTCTCCAATCAAAATTAAAATTTTATCGTATAATATGTGTAAATATGTATATTAATAAAATTTACAATAAATATAACTACATATTACAAAAGTAAAACTATCGAAAATAGTATTATCACTTCTTAATGAATTGAAATTAAATTTTGTCTCATTTTAGATAAAATAAAAAAATATTGGTAACTATTACTCTTGTAGCATTCCAACACACGTTTTAACATTGTCGTACGCAACTTGTTTAACTGCGATCCAGCTCATAGTATGGTGTGCTCCGAGGACATTCCAGTTCGACGCCAAAGGTGCAAGCTGCACCCCAACAATATATTGCATGCTTGGGCTGCACAAGTGGCAAATTTAGGAAGCATTCCAAAATAGGTTTTTCGTATAACTTTCTCCCAGCAATGCTCTTGCTTGTTTCTTCAGTTACTGCTACCCTGGACTTTTAATTATATATAAAGACATACATAAGCCCCTTACTCATACGTAACTTGCACCATATTTCCTTCCTCTAATTAGGCCATTTTATTGAAATATAACTCAACAGGTCGTTTACATAAATATAAATAACCCCAACTATTTCTATATAAACTAAATGATATTATGTGTAAATAATCCTAAATAAAATATATATATATAACTGTATGCTTCAAAGTTCAACTGGGTTCCTCTTATAACCCTAGCTAATTAACTCTTGATTTAAATTTAAATTTTATTTCAAAGATACTCATTCAATTAGAAAAAGAAATGAATAACTGCTGTCTCATTAGTAAACTTCACAATAAATTAAGAGTAAAAGAAAATCAGTGACTAGTAATACAATAAAAGTGAGTCCAGGTTTCTTATAATTATGACAAAAAATACTCTCATTTTTTATTTATGAGTAAATTACACCAACATTTTTTTGAGTTTTTTGAAATTGAATAAACACCTTATACTTTTTTACTCCGTGCGGTAACATCTCCTTAGACATTCTTCTAAATTATTTTTAAAATATTACATTGTAATTGATGACAGAAATTATTGTAAACATTAAAATAATAAAGGATGTTAATGTTTATTGCAAACTTGGAGATAGTCCATATTTGCATTGACCTTAAACTATTAATATTAAAGAAATTGGATGGAGGGAATAGATTTTTTCTAATTTATTTCTCACTGCTCATATAATAAATAGTTAAGTCCTCTCTATTTTTCATAATAAATGTCAAAAATTAATAAATAGATAAAAATAATAATTTTACAAAATTAGTATTGTTATTAATTTTTATTAGAAGCGGTGCAACATAATAAATTTTTATAAAATATTATTAGAAATACTAAGGTAGGTATATATATTTTTTGTCATAATTATAGGAAACGCATTCTTAATTTATTATGAAATATTGATTAATGAGACACTCATGGCCAATGTTAGTGGATGTATCTATTATCTTATTAAAAATATAAATCATAATTATTGATAATAAAAAAATCCCATAAAACACGAGTGTCTACAAATATAAGAACTACTTAAAGCATTTAATTTTGAGTATTTTTAAATAATTTAAATTTATTTAAGTTAATTTACTTGACTACTTTAATTAATATTATGAATGAATTATTTATTTTGTTTTATATAAAGGACTATAGTATTTAACAATAAAGTTGTCATTAATTAAAAAATATGATAATTATAATTTAAAAAAGAATGTATGAAATTGATTAATTAAAACTAATTCTACATCAACATTAATATTATATATGTACAAGTGTATAGACAGATATACATGTTACTTTTGTATTGAGGCTTCTTTTTCTCTTCTTTTTAAATTCTACGTCGAAACTCATGGTTATCCTTTAGAATATTTTATGCTAGGGCTTTGATTATGTTTTAATGAAATTCGTCTACCATTTACCAAAAGAAAATGTATAGATAGATATACTTGTAAATTAAGGTAATAATATGTAGATTCACGTATGTTTCAAATATGTAACTATGTGACAACTTGTCTAATTAGAGTACACCTAAAACGTGATACTCTATCAAATTCGTGGTGATTGTGATATGTTATCAGTAATTGATATGTATCCAACTGTATCACGCTTCTTCCAAATTTTTCCTGTGAAAATGGCAAGAGTCAAGACAACATCTTTAATTTATCAGTCACTTTTTACGTGTAAATCCTACCCATTAAATCTACACCCAACTTCTATATATACATGCCCCAAGCTTCATATTTGCTCATACCTGCATACGCTTACATATGATATATCTCTTCTTGTTATATCAAACTTGATCATTTATTCAAAATCTCTTCAATTCTTCCTATCGTTCAGTTTTTCGATCATCTTGCAAGATTAGTCCCAATAATAATGGGGTGTTTGTATTTTCTTAAAAAGGTAACTTAATTTACTGGTTTTTTTTTTCAAGCTTTCTTTTATAGTGCTAGATAAAGTTTTAAAGGGGAGGGGATCCTCATCGGTTTATTCTTCTAGTTGGTGTTTATTTATCTTCATCTTTGTTCTTCCCAATCTTTTGCTTTTCTTTAATACACACAAGAATGGGAATTGAGAAAGCTCTACGATTTCTAAAACAACTAAATGATGTAATCATTTAAAGGTTTCTTTTTTTTTTTTCTTTCTTTTTTTCGGAGTTATTCAATCACTATTAGAGTCTTACCTTGACAATTAATGCCGACCTCAAGTGATATTTTTTTATTGTTTGTTACTAAATAAAACTATAAGAAAATTAACTTGTAATGCTAAATTAAGAGCATATTTTAATACAATTCTAAAAGGATTTTTAAAAACTTTTTTATTAGAAAATCTAATTTATTTTTAATAAAAAAATTCTTAAAATTCCTTTTAAACTATATTCAAACATACTTTAAAATTGTCACTAAAAACTAAAAAGTTGTAACTAAATGTCTTTTTTACATTCACAAAATATTCATTATGTAAGTCGTATAACAATGGTTATTTAGATTTTATCTATAATAAATAGTTATAAGTATAAATATTTAAATTTATCTACATTAAATATTCAATAGATAGAAGTAGTTTTTATTTTACCAACAATCATCATGTTTAAAAGAAAAAACATGTGTATGTATAATTCATTTAATTTGCTTGTAGTAAAAAAAATAATTTTAATTAGAAAATATTTTTAAAATAATCTAAAGAACGATATCTCAATTTTGTCACTTCAAGAATCTGGATTAATATAATGGCACGTGTACCACTCTGTGAGTGCCACATTTGTAGTTATAATGTTGGACGTTTTTGCTTTTATGCGTATTACAGTCATGATACTTACATGAGCAGCGTGGTGAAATGATTTGTCAATTAAAAAAGAAAAGGTGACATATATATATATATATATATATATATATATATATATATA